TATATATATATATATATATATATATATATATATATATATATATATATATATATATATATATATATATATATATATATATATATATATATATCGTTCCTTCTTTGTCAGTTCGACCTTTGCATACTTTACCTTCCCTCTTCAAGATCCACTCGTCCGTTTCTCTCTTGTTTACAAAAGAAAAATAAAAGGGTTGCAGATGATCAGAGATGACAGGGCATCCTGCGCCTTCTTGTTGCTGTTTGTTCCTTGTTTCTGACGAAGGTGTGTGTGGAAGCCTTAATAAATAGACCAAGAGATTTGCAAATAGACTACTATGAAATAAATTGTTAATTTATATTCTTTTTCTCACTTTATGGATGCCTGCATTTTTTTTCATCTACTCTGTGAATATATTGGCATTTAACTTGATCAAAGGGGAAGAAGAGAGACAACAACGGTTAAGGCAGTATATTGAAAATATGACGTAGTGCGGTAGAGGTAAACTGAAAATTAATTGGGTTTTTTGAAAGTTCGCACGTAAAGGGGTATTTTGAAAAGTTGGACTGGTACCGGGTAGGGGTACATTGCAAAGATGGTTGGTCAAACAGATGCGAAGGGTATTTTGCAAAGATTTTTAGTTGTTAGAATCCGCTCTACCCACATCTTTAAGGGGCATTTAGACATATATTTCAAGTTTCATGGGTATAATGCTAGGCCTTTTTCTGGTCGCCCGGACACCCAGCTTCTGCCCAGGTACGTGCCCGGGTGCCCAGTCGGGCATGACCCCCAGGGACGGTTCCGGACAACCTCAATGCACAAAAAAAAAACATCGTCCAGGGAAAAAATATGTTGTGTAGAATTGAAATACAAATGACTTTTAGTCGAGGGTCACATTATAATTCCTCATAGAATCGGGGATAAAAAAAGAAAATAACAGAATCACACAAAGACACCGCCCTTTAAACTCTTTTAGCCCCTTTAAAACTAATTTATACCCCCCTCCCTTCCAACTCACAAAAACAACAATGAACCCTGATTTGGGGTCCTCTGGGAGAGCGCATAAAACAAAAAAAAACAATTATTTTTATTTTTATTTTCACACCTAGGTGCACGCCCAGGCTTGAGAATCTTCCTAGGTATAATATAAATGTTATTTTTTTTCTCTATTACCAAGGCGCACGTTTGGGTCCCCCCTGGATATCCAACTCGTCTGATCGGATAACTGGGGATATATATATATATATATATTTGGGTTCCCCCTCACATAAGGTATATGCCAAAAAACATTTTGGGTCATTTGAGCGCATAGAGAAAAAAAAAAAAATTGTCAAAGATGTCTTTGTCAATTTTAACCAAACAGGTTTATCTTGTTGGTGTGAATTTCAATCATGCACCCCAACCCCCTTTCCCCATATTTAGCATTATGTATTTTTTTGCTATAAATGAGTTGAATATTTTTTTTTTATGGGGTCACCTCATATAGCGCAGAGCGCCCCTCATTTTTTGTTTTTCGTTTTTAATTTTGGAGAAAATGAG